TATATAAATATATATACATATATATATATGTATGTATGTGAGAGCGAGAGAGCGAGAGAGCGAGAATGCAAGCAACAGGGCAAATGAGCAAAACAAAAAGCTGATGTTTTATGACAGTTCCACTGGCTGCTTATATTACCATTCCCTCCATCTGGCTGCTGGGGTAAAAAAATATATATAATATTTTAGGAGGCAGGTAACATGTGACTTACTTTCTTTCCTCCTATGTGACTGTGCTGCTGCTTGTTGATTGGATGCTCAAGCACGCAGTACTGTCACATGGAGGTGGGGGAGAGTCCTCAGCGCTGTGTAAGTTGCAGATTGCACAATTGTAGTTTATGAAGGGCTTTTTCTCATCCTGCATGAGAAAAGGAAGCCAAGTATAGGCAGCAGGCAGTAGGAGAGGATGTCATGAAATACATCGATTGTTTTGGCTTACATTGGAGTCTCCCATTAAGCATTATCTTTCTGTATTTTCACATTTAAAATGGATTTACTATTATTTTTAGGTCGATAAAGCCTAAAACAGTTATTAAACTTTAGTAAATATCTATGATATACATTACCTGTAAAAATCATAGAGGTAAATCAAGATAAACATAAACAATGATTTAATATACTTCTGGTGGTAGTTCTGGGTTCTGCAACAGAGTATTATTTGTTCATATGATACTATGATAATTCAAGATTATGATTGAATAACCTACAGTTGGTCTTTATTAAATTCAAATAATACGAAATTAAATAATGAAATTAAATATGACAGTCCTTTTCTTTTTTTATCACTAGAAATTAGCGTTATGCTTTAGCCAGTGGACAGCACTATTAGATCAACCACAGGTAACTAACAAAAAAAAACATAATGCGGGAGACAATTGTTGAACTTGTGTTGCATGCAATTTGGTATGTTTTAATATATATGTGGTGTCTCTTATACAGAGATTTAAAACCCCAGCCAAAACATTTGAATAAGCTGCTTATTTGAACAGATTTTAAATACTTTTGGGCAAGATAGAAATAGATGATATAGGGGTGTAGAGATTTAGCACTGTAATGAGGAGAACAATGTTATAATCTGTACAAGTGTCGATACAATCCCAATAAAAAGTTAAATTCTTATATTTTTAGCATAACAGGATTGTACTTACATCTCCATGAAGGTTCCATTTCATGTTCTCAATGACTATACTGTAGCTATTTGCCATCTGCTCAGAAATAAACCTGTACAGTTAGTGTGTATTTATCCTTCTGTGTGTTTGCAGCAAAAATGTAAATACAGATAAAAGAAAACGTAATTAATTACAAAGAGAACCAATATAGTTTATAGCTTTAAACTAACGGGGTAAAGAGCAGTTTGTTTTACCTTTTCTGAGTATGATTGACTTTTTAATGTTTAAGTAGGCTTGCTGGCCACTATTTTTAGTAATTCACTTTGCAAAATTCAACTTCTAAATGCTTTAAAGTAAATCTGTAACATCATTATAAAAGAAAGCCTCTATTAGTATTTTTTTTAGAGTTTTTGTGAATCTTATATGGCATGGGGATCTAATGATTATTGCACAAAAGTTTTGTATGGTACCTCTCCAGTAAAGTTAAACATACAAGAAGGTCAAACGTATGCTATAATAGAAAACACATAAACTAATATCAGAAACAAATAAAGTAATGCTACTACCTACTATTATACTTCAAAGGGTATTAAATATTTGGAACATCATTTTTATGATGGAGTAATTCTGTCTGCAAAATTCTTTCTACAGTTTTTTATGGCAATTTAAAATATACTTTAAAGCTTACTGCCAACATAGCAGTCTAGAATAGCAGAAGTAACAATATTTATAAATTGATAATCTGTGTGATTTAAGGAGATTTTTTAAGTCAGAAATATGGGAGCTGCCATTGCTGACTGTTTTCTCAAGGTACATGCTGTATGGCTGGAACCTGCACCGTTTAAAAAAAACCAAAACAATCAGCAATGGCAGCTCCAATATTTCTGTCCCGATGATTTTTCTTAAGCTTACCAGGTTTATTTTCAAGAAATAATTAAATCAATACAATCCACAGTGTGTTAGATAATATTATTTAATATAATGACCTGCCTTAAAGTATTATTCATAGATACTAAGTGAATCATGTAACTTTATTGAAAATATGATAATGGAATAGAAAAAAATGTCCTGTATATTTCAATGCAACAATGCATCAGTTTTCATTAGATATTCACAGCAGGGTTCTGCAAAATTAATAAACCATTTTAAGAGCTCTTTGTAGACACATCTATACAAAAGTATTAATGAGATGCTAAAGTGGCTGGCTGCACCTAGTATACCTATTGGACTAACTAAAATCCAATCTATTTTGTTTTCAATCAACCTATATTGTTACTGTCATGAATATGAGTGTATAGATGTATAAGTCAAGCCATATATCTGACCACAGGGTGCAGATCCTAAGACAAGATAGCACAGGGCAATCAATTTGCATAAAGCCTATATTTGAATCCATACATTTCCATTCATTTGTGTTTTACAAGCTAGTATAATATGTTACCTTTATAGTATCTATAAAGTAATATTCATGCTGTGTCGTTTTAACTGAATCTTACCTCTTAGAAAGGAGACATTTACCAGTTTAATTAGATAGAATACCTTGCTAATGATAAGTCCATTAGCATCCAGATTCATAATATAATGTAATGGTTAATTACTTTGTGGATGGCTTCATTTTTAAGAATTATATCTGGTGTCCAGGAACAAAGCAGCGTCCAGAGTTTTCTCAAAAGATACACTCACATTTTCTGTCTGTGACTACAATACAAAATGTTCCATTATAGAATGTGATGTGGTTGGAAGTACTTGATGATTAATTCATGTCTCTTTAATTTTATGGTTCTTATACAAATGCATTAGGAGACACATTTTTTGCAAAGATATGATTTGTGCATAATATAAGCAAAACTAATTTCTTCTGTTCCCACTAATAAAATGAGTATCATGTGAACTAGGCCAGTTTTAACAGCAGGGCTGCTATCCAATAAATCCTGATCACTTATCACTGTAGCTTTCCAGGAAGCATTTAGCACATTCCCAGGTGTATTCGCCTATTAGTTTATGTTTCTGTATAGCCAAGCACTATTGATTTATCATGGACACTCGCTGTGCTACAGACATCTGCTTTGTGTGCACCTATAGATGAATGTTTGGAGCTAGATGTGTTCCAAAAGTAGAACTCTTAGTATGATCTAACCTGTATTTCATTATATTTTTGTCCAGTTTGTTTTTAGGTCAAACACACCTAAAGATCACATTCTTGTAGCACACATATGTAATATTTAACCAATCTGTGTTTGCTCTGGCCGTTAATTGATAAGATCAGGGTTCACCCGTACTAGACCTTAATTAAAAATTAATTTTGACCTAAGTCACTGAATCCCAGATCAAATTAAAATCACATTTAATTTGACTCCATAGTCAAGCTGATTGATTAACTAATTTAAAAAACTGTGTTTCACTTTATCTAGATTGGCTTAATAGATGAGCTATATATATATATATATATATATATAGTCCAAAAATGCTCTATGTCATACGAAGACTCATATTAGGTGGGTACTTAGCTCTACCAATAAAATTTCCTTATTACTATAAATACAGGGGTTTATCAAAAAGGACCACTCAAAGTTCCCTTACACAATCTATGTTTCAAAGCTTCATTACCCAAGACAACACCAATGTTTATGACATAAATACAAAAACAGCTCTATGACCTAAGTGGCTATTATATTATTTTTTTACTGACACTATACCAATTGCAATGTAAAATACACCTAAAATTTCCTCCATACATATAATTACATTTCTTGTATACTACATTGGTGAGGTCTAAACGTAACCTGGCAATGAACTGGCTAAAAAAAATTCTAATAGCTAATATACTTGATAATCCATAAAGATATGAACAATGTGCTCTGCCCAAAAAGTCTGCAATGATTCTAAACATTTTCAGACAATCTTTACTATTGAAATACTCTCCGACCGATAATAGGATTCATTAATCTTTATTATTGCGAGGATACGGAACACAAATCTCCCAGCATATCGATCATGAATCAATCACTATGTACCTCGCTATAATCATAGGACAGTACAGTGGTGATTTCTGTATTCACTGCTCAGTTCTTTCGCATTTGCTACACATCATCAGTCCCTAAATTGCACATTGGGATCATTCACTTTAGGAAGCATGTGAATAAGCTGGCCACCCCATCTGACATGTATAAATCAACTCATCCACACAGCGGAACACAGGGATACATCATCCCAACCGCTGCAACTGCCATAGTTCAAACAGTGCATTTAGCCCTATTATTGGTGGAGGCCGTTTCGATAATGATGATTGTCTGAAGATGTTTGGATAGTTGTAGGCTTATAAAGTATATTGGGTACCTCCAGCCAAGAGCCTTGGCTGGATGGGGTGCCTTCTTGTGGGTGATTCCGAGTCCTGGTCTGGTGCTGGAGCAGAGGAAGCAGTAAAAGAGCTGGTGGAAGGGAAAGAGGTGAGGTACTGCTCACCCACACTAGCCACATTGTGCACCCATGAAGACACTGGGGGCCCTGTGTAGGGGGAGGCAGACAGAGAATGGCTAGCCATTTTTTGGATGCAGGTAGGAAGGTCTATCCCTCCACCTTCTTACACAAACTTTGGGGCATATTTTTTCACACTTATCAGACGTAAGAGAGATTATATATATATATATATATGTATATATACACTATTGACCCCTGCAATGCATTCACTAATGTTGTAAATTATACTCCTGACTACAATACATTCCTGATCTCTGTACCATATACACTCTGTTATCCATTATACTCCTGACCCCTGCACTGTATTCTTTACATTGTAACTGTATACCCTATGCTGTACATTATACCCCTGCACTGTATACACTACGGTGTACATTATACTTCCGACACCTGCACTGTATACTCTGTTTTATGTTACACTCCTGACACCGGATACTACATTCACTATGTTGTACATTGCACTCCTGTCCCCTGCACACTATGATATACATATACTGCTGACCCCTGCAATGTGTGTACTATGTTGTATGTTATACTCCCTACACTGTATATGCTATGTTATACTCCTGACCCCTGCACTGTATATGCTATGTTGTACAATATATTTCTGACCCTCTGCACTGAATTCACTATGTTGTACAATATACTCATATCCTTGTACACTATGTTATGTATTTATTATTGGTATTTATATAACACAGACAATTTACCCAGCACATTCACATCAGTCCCTGCCCTCAAGGAGCTTACAATCTAAAGTCCCTATCTCACATACATACATGGGCCATTTTAGACAGGAGCCAATTAACCTACCATCATGTCTTTGGAGTGTGGGAAGAAACCCACAAATGCACAGGAAGAACATACAAACTCCTTGCAGGTAGTGACCTGGGCAGTATTCGAACTAGGGACCCGCAGTGCTGCGAGGCAGAAGTGCTAACCACTACACCACCTTTATACGCCTGCTCCCTGCACCATATTTTCTACATTGTACATTATAGACCTCACCCCTGCATTGTATTCACTGTGTTGTACGTTATACTTCTGACCCCTGCATGGTGTACCCTATGTTGTACATTATATTCCTAACCCATCCATTATACTACTAACCCCTGCACTGTATACGCTATGTCGTAAATTATACTTCAAAAGCCTGCGCTGAATACTGTTTTATGCTATACTCCTGACCCCAGCACTACACTCTCTTTGTTGTACATCATACTCCTGGCCTCTACACTTTGTACGCTATGATATGTTATACTCCTGACCCACGAACTGTGTATGCTATGTTGTACATTACACTACTAATCCCTACACTGTATATGCTATGTCTTATGTTATACTCCTGACCCCTGCATTGTTTACACTATGCCATACTTATATGTTATACTCCTGACCCACGAACTGTGTATGCCATGTTGTACATTACACTACTAATCCCTACACTGTATATGCTATGTCATATGTTATACTCCTGACCCCTGCGTTGTTTACACTATGCCATACTTTATGCTCCTGACCCCTGCACTGTATATGCTATGTTATATATTATACTCCTGACCCCTGCACTTGTACATTACAGTACAAGGCTCTTAGGTTTATTACACATGATTTTTGCCACCTACAAGAGTATTTAACCAATCAGCAGCCACAACAGTTGTTGCATTACTCAGCAGAAAGGTCACTGTCAAATAATGTTTTCTAAATATTTCATGTCACATTTGTTTGCAGTACAACTGGTGTTTATCATTGTTTTCTCTACAAGAACTATTGAATATGCCTCTTGTAGAACCACACCTATTTTAATTAAATGCCCCATCCCAAACCAAAGTACACTGTGATAGGACGGCACCATGTCACAATGCAAATATGCATTTGGAGTGTAGTTTAGCATGTGAGGTGAGAGGTGAGGGTTTAGCCACGGTAAAGAGAGGCACTAGTCTCACCTAGGGTTCTTACCCATACAGGGTAAGGGGCTCCAGGAGAAAAAACAACTTTTTCTCTAGCATTATTCAATCCTGGATTAGATCCTGGAGCCAAGAGGCTTTGTAAAGTACTGGTTAGGAGGAAACCTCCAATCCCAGCATCCACCATTTGATGATGACCTGTGCACCCTCATTGTGCAGGTGTGCACAGCCCTAAAATATTGGTACTGACTAGAGTTCAGGGCTCCACCCAGGAGGCAGGGTGGGAACCAGTGTGGCCAGATGATGTAGTTGTGCACAAATCTTATGAGAGAGAGTACTGTCTGGAGGATCAGACAATGACCTGAAGTGTGACGCCAGAGCAGCAGTGCTGCAGGGGGCTCGTAAAGTATTTGCATTTGCTTTGTGGCATTGGAAGAGTAATGCTAAAAACCTCTGTGAGGGCAAACTTTTGTGTCTCAACTGAATCTAAATATATAGTACTTTTTAAAGGTTGTAGGCGCTGGTCAATAATAACTAAATGAATAGTTTTTATTTATCAATTAACAACCTACAAAATGCATAAACATAAAAATGTAAATAAAATCGATGTTTGGGGTTTCCATCCATTGCCTTTAAAACAGCACCAGTTGGTCCTGCTGACTGTCAAAATACCTGAACATTGCCTGTACCCGATTGGTTGCGGGTGCTGTCCAGCTGACAATTTTATTTTCCAGTGCTTTGGAATCAGCCTTCAATGTCATTAAGTTTAGGAAAGTAGAGGATCACTAGCACTCGAGTTCAATGTCATTAAGGTAATTTACAGGAGTATATCCTGTGACTACGTTTTATTGCTTGACATGCTATTCATAGTCATTCTGGCTCTGCACTGAGCACCAATGTCCCTTCTTCACCCCACTGAATACCTATGTCCCCTTTTTTACCACAATGAATACCAATTACCAACACTTACTGGTAGTTATTGCTGGCCCCAACACTTACTAGGGGTTATTGCTTGCCCTGACACTTACTGCGGGTTACTCCTGGGGTTTACCATTGCTGGCCCTGACATTTGTTGGGGGTTATAGCTTGCCCTAACCCTTACTGAAGGTTAATGCTGGTTGGTATTGCTGGACCTGACAATTACTGTGGTTTTTCATTGCTGGACCTGATACTTGCTGCAGGTTATTGATGAACTTGACACATGTTGGGTGTTATCATTGATTCTACTGACCGCAATGTTGGGGGCTATTGTTGCTGCCACTGACACATACAACGCAGCTTTTTTTACTCTCACAATTCTGCAGTGTACCCCCAGGCCCTATTTGGTCTAAACCATAGCAAAGTGGTAAAGGTGGCACACTACATGCAATACTGTAAAAGAACACCCACTTTATTGATCACACACACTTTTTAGCCACACCCACATGCCTGCAGTGGGCAACATTTTTCTCCTTAACCTCCCCAGGATATAAAATTATCAATGCCACTTTATCCACCTATCAGCATTCAACTTGCACTGCAGCACAATTGATTACCTTCTTGTGCTGCCTTTCCCTCCTTCAGTCTATGTTTTACTGCACATAGAAGTCCAGGAGGCTGAATCAAGACAAATTCAGGTACAAAACTTGCATTAAAAATAGATTCAAGGATGTTTTATTGAATTGAGAGCTGCAATCATTTGTGTACTTTAAATCTGCCTGGAGCAAAGCTTAGTTAGCTTTCATTTTTCACCGCTGTCATTCATCTGAAACAAGCTAACCAAGTATTAAAAAACAGTAGCTTCAGAATTCAATATAAAAAAGAAAAGCTCCATCCCAATATTTTAACAAAATAGTACGGTTTTACTTTAGATAAATGAGTCAAAATGATGCACTGATCTTTGCAATAACATTTCCCCTTGCTATCATGGTGGGCTTGCTACAAAATTTGTGTATATTTGTCTTTATGATGACATGTTTCAAATCCCCATCACTGATCATTTACATCATTAAAACATTTTTTTTCAGATTTCGAATTTTGTGATGAACCTTTGTAACTCCATTTACAATAAAATGAAGGTCAATGAGGTAAGGATATTAACTTGAATCTGAATGAGAAAGACAGTATACAGTATGCTTAAGCACTGCCCACCTGTGTTTAGTCTTGACATCCAAAGTCAACACCCAACCAGGTGAGTTCTGCACATCATGCATTAAAGTGACACTAAACTTGGGAGTTCAATCTTAAAAATGCATTCAAGTACCCTGAATATTAACAAAAATGTATCTTATTTATGTATCAGTCGGCTGTAGATCCTCAAATCATCTCTGAATTGGTGCTGACACTGTCCTTCCTTCTGGAGGGTGGCTACTTTTGTTCCCCATGGTCCCTGTGTGTGTTGTAAAGTAGCCACCGCTCCAAGCTCACTCCCATGATGGACTATAATTTCAATACAAATTAGTAAACTAAATGCGGTATTGTAGCACATCACGGGATTAAGCTTGGAGCGGTGGCTACTTTACAACACACACAGGGATCATGGGGAACAAAAGTAAGAAATAAGTATTAAAAGTAATCCATGCCCTTCTAAATGGAAACAGTGTCTTTTCAGTTAGTTTGCATATGATTTTAGTGTAAGAGAGGTGTATAGTTTGCAACTACATATTTATATGTGGGCAGCCATATTTGCTGGCACATGCTTGGAGCAGAAATGGGACCAGAAAGAATCTGGACTGTACTGCTTTTGCGTGCATATCACTAAACACTTGTTGCAAGGTGTATTCAGTATACCGTGCAGCAAATGTTCAGTGATATGCAGTGTTAATGCAATACAGATTTTACTACTATATCCATGTTCTGTACTACTTGATAAATCATACAATAATATTTAAATTAAAAGTCTTATTGTAAGATTTATTAAGTTGTGCAGTACAAATGTACCAGTATGTGGTTATATTAGTAAAATCATTATTGCATTTACATTGCATATCCCCAAACACTTGCTACACGGTGCACTGCATTTGCATTCCATGTATGATACATAGAGAGGCATTTGTCAAAAATGCAATGCACCGTACAGCAAGTGTTCAGGGACATGCAATTTAAATGCAATACCAATTTTACTAATACTGGTACATTGTTCTGTACTATTTGATAAATCAGTCAGTAAGACTTTTATTTAAAATCTTGTTATATGGTTTATTAAGTACTATGGAAAAAATTTAAAAATCCATTGCAATATATATATATATATATATATTGTGATGTTCGGGGATATTAGCACATAGGGTGAGCGCTTAAGAATGCAGTCTACTCGCAATATCTTCGGTTTAAGGGCTCGGTAGCCCACTTTTATTCAACACAAAGTTCATAAATCCATCTTGGATACCCACGCAGGGGTTGACAGCATAATTAATGAAAGGCTTTAAAGCAACACAAGCATAGCCTCCTGGCTTCCACTTTAAACAGTAGCACTTCTGACCCACTGGTCCTCTTTGAAGTGCTGTCCCAGCAAAGCTCAGTATGAGACCTGAGACCGCCGCAGCCGGGACAGATCCCGACATAACTGTTGAGATCCACACAGTTGCGTGATTGACAGCTGGCTCTGCCTATCTACAGGCAGACCCAGCTGTACCCGCCCCGTCTGTTCCGCCAGTTGGCGCTGGAGGATCGGAGCGGGGAGGGGGGGAATCCCTGCAGGGAGCCATGAGTGACAGTCACAGCTCTCCGCAGGAACATGATCGAGAAGTGAGCGAGCGACTGTATGTGTTCGCTCACTTCCCGATCTATTGAGCTAACGTTTGACAGTTTCATTGTCACACATCAGCTCGAACTATGAGGTTGAGTGAAAATCACTCACCTCATAGTTCTTCTTTAAAGACATCCCTGTACAGGGTGCTTTCATATTACTGTGTCTTCAGAACATTCTTGGTTTGTAATAAGAGCAGTGAGTGATAAAAAGTACATTGTAGCTGCTCACTTGTGTACTGTCTGCCTAAGGGTCCATTTACATTATTGTGTTGATTTAACGCAACATGGGACAACTCATGCAACAAGTGTGTGTGTAATGCGGTGGCATTCATTCTGAATGACACTCCAATGCACATTGCTGATGGATGTGTGTTGCACTGTTGGGAATGGCACATGCACGTGTTTTGGTGCATTACGTAGCACATTAAATTAATACGTTGTCTTAACGCAACGCAACACGCATAACATTCTAACGCACTGCTATGGTGAAAATGGCACACTGAATAATGCTCCATACAATGAACTAGAGATAGGGAGGGGCTAGTGTCCTCTGAATCATTCAGTTCTGTTAGTGTTGGAAGCATGTGTTACATATAAAATATTCATATAAAGTATTCAATATGTACCTGCTGAAATAGAAATTCATATTTTCCTAATATTTCTATATTATAATACTAATAATAATAATATGTTTTAATGTTTCTAAAAATATATATTATAGTCCTAAATATAATACAGTATATCAAGCAAATATGTACAAAACACTATAATTACCTTTTTACTGCCAAACAGCCTATCTTAAAGAGCAATTTAAGCCAAAAGATAAAAAAAAATCGCTATGGGGATAGTTTTTTTTGGCAGAAGATCCATGCCAAGTGTCTTCGGCCAAAAAACATCTTACTCTTTCCCCAGAAACTTTTCATTTTCTGTGTACACTGTACAGTGCATGCGCCGTGCAGCGTGCACTCTCAGCTCATTCATGGCATCTCTAAGGCCCCGTTCACATGTAGCGAATTATCGCGCAATTTCCACCGCGATATCGCGCATTTTTGCCGCGCGTTATCGCGAAAAGTCGCCGGCCAATGCTATTCAATGGAGCTGTCTTAACTCCATGTCGCTCGTCGCAAGTCGCTTCTGCCGGACCCTTTTTTCGGCGGATTTTGCGCGATTTTGCCCTTTTTCTATGGAGCCCGGCGGAGAAGGTCGCGCTACCGTCGCTGGATCGTCGCTGGAACGTCGCCCCGAAAGTCGAGCTATCCCGGCCGTGTAGATCCGCTGCAAAAGGTATGTCGCTACGTGTGAATGGGGTCTAACATGTCATGAATGGGTCTGATGCCAGGAAGGAAGAAACTCCTGTGCACATATGCAGAAATTATATCATCAGTGGCCACCCAATGGCCAAAGAGGATGTCTGGGAACCCAGAAGTGGTGGCAGTGGGGATGGTGGCAGCGGTGGACCGGAGATGCATCACACAGCACTGGAGAAGAGCACACTTTTAAGGTAAGTGTGCTAAATGTGTGCTGTACATACTTATGACATACAGCAGTTTACTACCATTTTATCGCTGATTGCCCTGTAAAATGGATACACCAATCTACAGTTACATCTCACATTGGGGTTAATATTGAAATATCTGGATCAGGGAATGTTCTCATTTATGGATGATAGTGAAAATATAAGAAGACTACTAATATGTTTTGAAGGTAGTAAACCTTCTAAAACGTTTGTGTATTTGTGGTTTTTTTTTATTAAGCACACTTTCCTTATGATCTTTTCTGCACAAAAATAGTGTTGCTGTCAGAATGCAGCTGAGCAAATAGAAAATAAATAAATGAAATGTAAATATTTTAATGACTGCCCACAAGTTATTTTATGTACATCTGTCATGAAATAAACTAGGGATGCACCAATACTGGTTTTTCGGTTTCGCGTACGAGTGCCGATATTTTTTTTCCCGGTACTCACCGATACCGATACCGGAAGTCCCATTAAGGAAACTGGGTGGCGTGTATTGACTCGCCGCCTGGCTTCCAGATTAGCCAGGAAGCCTTCTCCATGCTCCCTTGTCACCAGGTGACGAAGAAGCGTGGAGATGGCTTTCTGGCCAATCAGGAAGCCGGGGTGCAGGTAATGACTTGCCGCCCGACTTCCTGCTTGGACAGCTTCCCAACCAATCAGGAAGCTGGGTGGTGTGTAATGATTCGCTGCTTAGCTTCCTGATACCGGAAGTTCCGATATCGGGATAGGCATCGGGAGCATACTCACAAGTACTCACCCAAATAATCAGTATCGGTGCATCCCTAAAATAAACACATTAGCTACAATTGTTTACGTCCTTCTGAATATTCTGGTTGTGCCTGAACTGTGTACTCCTCAGACACTGAGTGATGCATCAAACAAAGGAATGACGATAGAACTCCTGATCTGAACACTCGTTCTCAGTTAGGGCTTTTCCCCGTAGTTCTCTTAAGGGTAATGGGAGGACACAAACTAGCATCCTCCCGTCACCCAAACCTCAGTATACCGCGAGTTACAGCTCGCGGTATACTGAGACTCCGCTGCTGAAACGGATCCCCCACAATTATGTCTGGATCCACCCAGCTGCGTGAGTGACAGCTGGCTCTGCCCAGCTGTACACGCCCTCTGAGCCAGCTGTACACGCCCCGTCCGTTCCGCCAGTCAGAGCTGGAGGATCAGACGGGGGGGGGGATTTCTGCAGGGAGCTGTGAGTGACAGTCACTGCTATCTGCACGGATATTTCAAGAAGTGAGTGAGCGCCTGTATGTGTTCGCTCACCTTCCGATCTACTGAGCCAACCTGTGACAGTCTCATTGTCACAGGTCGGCTAGAACTATGAGGATGAGTGAAAATCACTCGCCTCATAATTAGGAATTACCATAGGCAAACAACTGCAGATAGAATAAAACTCTGTACAAGGAGAAGAATATGGAAAAGGTGGTAGAGGAAGAAGGAAGAGAAGAGGATAAAGTAGAAGAGTGTATCCCCAGGGTTCAGGGGAATTCACTCAGGTCAAATTTACTTACATGGGAAAAAGTTAGAGTAGCCGACGATCAAAGTCATGCAGCGCAAGATCCATGGGTCCCAAACCTTCAGAGTATCATTTTTTATTCATTGTTTGAAACAAATCATATTATTTTTTTTCCTTATGTTTTCCAGGGGAACAATCAAGAGGTTTATAAAAGAGTAAGTGACAAAAAGACATACAGTATATATTCTATATGCATGGTGTATCCATTAAGAGTATAACTATACTGTTGTTTTCACAGTTTTTATTTCACTACTCCAGGGCACAAGATCCTGCTCTAAAAACTGGGGTGAGTACAAACTAGTGTTCTCTGTTAGTTGTGGAATGTTAAAATTACAGCTAAATGATACAACTTACATTGCTAGCCAAAGCTAACATTGCCTTTATTAATTAAGATAATTATCTCTCTCTACCCCCAAAATGGCTTGTGTACTTGGATATCTGACTTTCTCTCTGATTAAGCATTTTGGAAGGGTTTGAAACATGATTTTTACGTTTCAACATGGAAAAGTGTTCCTGTACATTGATTTCTGGAAAGTGCTTTGTTTCACCTTTAGGATTCTTAAATTCAGCACGCTATTTATTCTAATGCTTCTGAATTAAAATTTTCACTATACAAATCTATTTGAATGCAAAGAAAAGCAAGTTAGAGGAAAGTCAAAATCAGATGGGAAGCATCATAAACTGATCTCATAGGCAACCCATTTCCCCAAAAGCAAGCTGCGTTTGACTTCTGATTCTCACACATTTGTATGCAAACCTTGAGTTCATGTGGTAGGCAAACCAGACAGTGGCTGCTGCCAGAATAAGGATCACCCATATGAGAGCTCAAGTTAATCATAGTTAAAAATGATTAATAATGTTATAACACTTTTGCTTAGCATACAGTTGAGCAGGATGTTGTGGTTGCAGTGCAATGGTAGAGCAAAGGTCCTGCAAGCATCATATCATATCTTTGATTTCGGTGAACCTTCTGTTCCTTACATGTCAATAGGTATAATAAATACATTTTTTTAAATGTATCCCTTGCATTGCTTCACACATAGGTTTTATATGAAGCAATGAATACCATTATTTTTATGGTCTCTTTATAGGAATCACAAATTTCTACAGAAGAGTTGACAAAAAAGGTATGCTTATATGGTTTGTCCTGATGTTTCCAATAATAGTCGTACAGTGTACTGGAAGCTTGTTAAAGTGTATGTAAACCCAATCACTAAAATCTCATATAACCTTTAACATGGCCCAGTCTGTGGACCCAGTCATCTGTAAGGACTTTTTAAGAATGGCCTGCTGGACAAAATTAACAGGGTTATTCACAAAAGGGTGAAGAGTTGGGAGAAGGCAGGAGACGTGAACAATCTAGAACAACATAGCTGATTTGGAAAAATTCTCCAATTCAGATCACTTTCCAGTTCAGCTATTTTGTCCTAGATTGGTCACTTCTCCTGCCTTCTCCAACTCTTCACCCTTTAGTGAATAGCCCTGTAAATAATAAAAGTTTATTTGATGTTGTCTCTGAAGATGGTATCAATGTAGGAAAGTAGTTTGTATGTTTTTTTCTGATTGATAAATTGTATTACCAATAAATTGTAAAACAGTTTAAATGTGTAATTTATAGATTTAACTTCAGTGATTTTCAATGGCAAAACCTATAGTCTGTCCTGGAAGCCTGTAATGAGCATTCAGTGCTAATAGTACAGCTTTTGCTGAATTGGCTTGTTTATCCATAATGCTAATTTTCATTTCCAGTCTAATAAGTGTGTTTTTCCCTGATGTGCTGCACATGATCCACATGTGACCACAGCCCTGGCAAACCCCTATTCAGTTCTGATAAACTGAAAGGATTCCCCATAGCTCTCTGCATTTCCCGGATTATGTATTCTGCACATTTACAGCTGTTACAGTATTGATTGCAATGACAATAGCCTTTATTTTGGATATATCTTCGAGCAAGAGTAATCTGGTGCTATACATATTGAAGCTAATTAATAATTTTTCCTGTATTTTAATAAGCTGGTGAACTTGAAGCTGGTTCAGCCACACACTTAAAGTCCTGGCCACGCAAGTAATGGCCAGCCCTGGTTTAAACCCAGCACTGGCCGATTCCCATCCCTTTCTGAGCAAAGCCTCGGCTTTCATATCCATCGGGTCCTTCAGTGCCCCCATGTCCTCAAATGACAAATCAGTCTTTTTGGAGACCTTTGATAGAGATGCTACAGCTTGCGGTATGCTGAGACGCCGCAGCTGAAGCGGATCCCGACAATTATGCCGGGATAGCATTACAGGGTCTAGTGTGGGTACAAAGGAACACTTATGACATACCCTTTATTGTAATAATACTAGCTATGATATTTCTTAGTGTGGATCAGACAAAAACTGTTTTTCATTTATCATGATGATGGGGAGGAGGAGACTTGAGACTGAAGGATGACCTCCTACAGTGTATCAGCAAAAGGACCACACTATCAACAATGTAAGGTGCATGAGGCTCTAGCACTAGTAATTCTGCAATTGCAGACTGGCCACCAGTGCTAATATTCTTTCACAGAAAGCTTCTTGTTCTCCTCATCATCATCTCATAGGCTGATACTTATTTCCAAACAAAAACACCTGTACCTCCAAATATCATATAACATTTTACTTGGTTTGGAGCAAGTTGTATCTCTATTTCATTGTTACTTTGTGGATCCATGAGCAGACAGGCCCTCACCAAGTTTGTAAATCATTAACCATGTCTGGTATTAGTTAATGGAGCTGCATTTATGAAGTAAAAATGTACTCCATACAGATTATTTTTCTGTGTGCATCCATAACAATATTTTAGCAGCAATTGAATTTGTATTATTATTATTATTATGTTAATAACATTTTATTTCCATAGTATTTTATTATGTTAGTACGTGCCGCCTACTGATTTTAGTATAGGCAGCAGTTTGATGACTAATGATAAGCAAAGATCATTACAATATCACCCAAACTTTTTAATGCTGGATGTAATATGTTTTCCAGGATAGCCCTGGTAAGATGGGAAGGCCATTTTTCCTTTTCAGGGTATGCTTTATATGTCTATTTAGTCTTTAGTGCATGTGTTGGTCTTTTGTGCTCCAAAGGGTAGTAGAGTTTGGATATAGTCAATGAAGGTCTCTGTGCAGAACTATAATTGGGGTAACCAACATAAATTATATGTGCAGCTGCCTGACTAGATACTTGGCATGTGTGCCTGTTTCTCAAAGCTTAAAGGATCATGAATAGTTATGCGCAGAACCCTCAATGCCAATTTTCAATGTACTGTATGTATTGCATGCAGTCCCTGTATTGTAACAGAACTTTTCCCTGCTTATTGTACAGCAATGCTTAAAAAATACTAAATGTATACATGTTAAAATGAATGTAGCCCCCCAAAACAAAAATGTAATATATTGCAGCCTACTACTCCTTGGATGTGGTAGCTGTGTTAGTTTTCCTTATTTAGGGTTTTTTTTTTTACCTGGTACCTGAGCCAGTAACACACATCCTGTAGGAGGGCAACGTTTACTTACTATACTGTATTTTTGGAGGGGGCAGCATTGTCACTCTAGGCTGCTCTCCTGATTTGGAATACCGACACCCCCTTCCCTCCTCATCACAAAAACATGGGTGGGAGTAGTTTTTGTAGTCCACAGAATATAGCTGGGGTAACTGCATCTTGCAGATCATAATTTTGTTTACACAGCCCTTAGGTCAATGTTTAAGATAGCCATACCTGCAGTAAGGAATGAATCTAGGGGATTATGTTGCTGATATACACAGTAGTATATCATGCAGTATATACTATGTATTAATAACAACCACTTTATTTTTCCCCTAACAGCCTAGAAATGGAAGAAAAGTTTCCATAGATGAACACTAGCATATCCTTAAAGGTATATACTGTATATGCACGATGGTGTGTGTAATACAAGACAGTTTTTATTTTTACACCAGTTTGTGTTTATTATTTGTGTCTTGGTATTGTTATCTAACTAACACGCTCAGATTCTTATCGTTATATTGACGATTAGCTTTTAGTGAAATCTTAGGGAACATTTCCAGGAATGGTTTTACATTTGGGTGCTGATTATTCTACAAGATGAAGTGATACACGAAAGGGTCCACTTATGCAGAATACTTGGAGCCTAATGCTTCTTAGTAATAATGTATGTGTTTTGTATTTACATGAAATTACTAACTAGCCAAATATGCAAGAGATGGGTAGATCTAATCTCCTTTCATCACTGAACACAAAGAATAAAAAGGGTTATTCAATAAAAGTCCAAAAACAGTGATTTAAAAAAAAAAAAAAAAACTTGCAGTTACCTGTTTCAACAAACCAGAATTAATTTACAGTGCTGATTTATTTACTTACTGTATTCTTGGTCTTTATATAGCGCCAGCAATTTATGCAGAGCTTTACACAGTCCACATTCACATCAGCCCCTGCCCTCAAGGAGCTTACAATCTAAGGTCCAAAATCTCACACACATACAGGGCTAATGTGGACAGGAGACAAGTAACCTTCCAGTATGTCTTTGGAATGTGGGAGGAAACTGGAGCACCCCCACGCAAGCACAGGGAGAACATGCAAACTCCTTGCAGATAGCGTCCTGACCAGGATTTGAACTGGGGATCCCCAGTGCTGCAAGGCAGAAGTACTAACCACTACGCCACTGACTGACCATTTTGCGTCACGGGTGCTCTTTTGAAAAGGGCTGCAACTGGATCTGTTGTCATAATGGCCATAAAGGAGTTTGTTGCTTGAGCCACCAGCTGTCAATGACAGTACTGAACCAAGAAGCTGAACCAATTCTCTATGGCAAAACTACAGGTCCCATGAGGCATTGCAAGACTGCAACAGCCACAGGCATGGCTCCCAGAGGCACAGTGGGATTTGTAGTTTTACTACAGCTGGAGTGCCAAGGTTGCCAACACCTGCTCTATAGCACTGTACTCCCCCAGTTACACACAAGTCCCAACAACATATTAAATAGTCTGGGTAACATTTGCACTTATTGCATGGCCATCAAATGATGACACAAGCCTGCGCAATGTCATGCAATATTTGTGCAATCACACAAACCTAAACAAACAGCAGTGTTGCACCCATTCCTACATATTCAGTCCAGACTTGTTTTCTGAGAGCCCATGTACACTGTTGCTCTAAATGTTAGTGTCCAGGTTCCCCGTATTAAAAATAGTGCCTGTTCCAATCTCTGTGCTGCAGCGCAGGGTGTTTTGAAAACTAAGTCATGTTCTTTTTTTCAGCATTTTAGTGCATTGGAAGAACCATCTAAGTCAATGACAATGCATACAAACACATATAACATGTGTTTTTATACATTTTGACACAGTAGTAACAGGAATTACCCAGCATTGGCCATTGTCTAGTAACACTATCCACTCCAAATTCTAGTTTCAAAAATGCATTGGAAACGCGAATCAAAGTGTATCAATAATGCATGTCAATGCACAAAGAAATGCACATTGACACATGACAATGCACCTGCCTAATAATTCATCTCTATATCAACATATAGATCGAAATGGACCTTAATGGTTTGGGGTCAATTTTTCTTTTTTTCTTTTTTTTTAGCTGTGTAGAGGTGAAGGCAGTAGACCATTTTTCAGGCTATAGTGTTAGTTTATAAGGGAGGATGTCACAAAGTCACAGTGTAGCAAGTCTTGTGTTTGTAGTGCGCAGAGTAAGCTTGAGAACCTGTGTACATAAGCATTTATTTGGGTCAGAACTGCTTTTCTCCCCATACAAGTCAAACATTATGCAAAAGCAGCTCAGAAGGAGGTCAGAAACAGGTCATCAGCTATGCAGTTCAAAGTTTGCTTCATCTGGCCATCTACAAAAGCTTTAATGCGAAAGACCCTTGGTGGACAGGCTGACCTGACATTTTTCTTTTTTTTTTTTTTACAGAAATTACTGAAGATATTGTCTATGGGGAACAAGGCATTATCGAGGATCTTTTTGTACCATAACAATAATAATAAAATAGACACATTGGTATAATTTCACTGTCTTGCACCAAAGTTTTGTCAGAGATGCATTATTTTTTTACTGTCTCCAAAAATGTCAACTTTCTACAGCAATTTAAACAATACCTGTACTTTCACTCCAGTTGTCTTTTATTGGGCCACTTCCCCAGCCCCTTCCTGTCCCCACTCCTCTAAGATCTTTGCAGGTTGACCCGCTGGGCACCACATTGTCTCTTCTGCAAAAGTCCCACAGCTGAGCCCTGCTTCTTTTGTGCATATTGCTACATAGTTACATAGTTATATATTATATTTATAGTATATACAGTATATTAGTATAGTTATAGTATTTGAGGTTGAATAATTACAAAGGTCCATCAAGTTCAACGTGTGTGTGTGAAGTTTTGTGTGCGAGTCTCTGTGTGTTCCAGTCATGACGAGAACCTGTGCCCCTTTATGTTATGTTTCTTAGGAAGGTATCTTAATGATTTTTGAATGATTCAATACTCTCAGCTGATACCACTGCTTGTGGAGGAGAGTTCCACAATTTTACCATTCTAACAGAAAAGAATTCCCTTCGCCCCTTGTGGTTAAATCTTTTTTCTTCCAATTTTACGTGGTGGCCTCTAGTCTTCTTTAGTGAGTTTACAGTAAAAAATGTATTACTCATGTTACCATCACCTTTAAAAATTTTGTACATCAAAATCTTGTCCCCTCTTATTTGCCTCCTGAACAAATGTACATTTTGCAATCTTGCCTCATAGCTTTGGTCCCCCATCCCATTTAGTTTCATTGCACTTCTCTGGACTCTCTCCAGTTCTAGGACATCTTTACTATAGGAATAAATTAGATGGCAAGATGCATGTGTGGAAGAGTGCAACAAGGAGAACCTCAGAGGGTTGGGGACTGGTAAGAGTAAGGCTTAGCAGGGGTAGGAGGCATGGGAACGGCCCTATAAAGAATATCTGTACTAAAAGTATAGTATGCTTAAATTACCATTTTTCATTTTTAGATCTGTCATTGCACATTTCTGTTAGACAGCCTTTTATGTGATATTGTTAAAAAATATAACACTCAGAAATAATGATAAAAGGTCACACTTAATTCTATATACAATATTATATATATATATATATATATATATAGATCTATATGTATATGTAAATTGGCAGAAAAAATGTCTTGAGTTATGATTGGTTTTACACTTTTGTTGTTTTTGAAAACATTAACACATTTATGTGTATATGCTATTTATTTTTATTGAATAACAAAATGTCATGAAGTGGAAAAGAGCTGGCACTCGTAGGAATCGTCGTAATGGTGTGTGTTTATTGAAACATTGTTATGCCTTTTCAATAAAGAAACACCATTAAGAAGATTTCTACGAGTGCCAGCTCTTTTCCACTTCATTTTGTTGATTGGGTCCGGCAGAGATTCACGCTGAGCACCGCGGTCCCCATGGAGTATTGGGTCTGGGAAGGTAGAACGGCTTTATTCTTGTATAACAAAATGTCATGAATGATTAGCATACAATTTTGCAGTTCTTTTTCAAATAAGAAATCACTTTTTAGTTCTGGATACAGTAGGGAAGTGTTAAAACCCCTATCAGGTTTTTATTGCTGTTTCAGCCTCTCTGTTGGTGCTGGGGACAATTGTTTCTGGTACAGACAGTGATGGAAAATCCAGAATTTTAGAGTTGTCAGTGGCACAGGAAGAGAGGGGAACTCGTCCAGTGGTAACTCCTGGCTTTTCTGTTGAAAGCTGTCTAAGAGGAGATTTGCTCTTGCTTTGGAGAGATTCATCTTACTTCCTGGTATGTCACTGAAACAGGAAGTGAAAAGACATCTCCCTAATGAATAACAGACAGCAAAAAAGATACTGAACCATTACATATTCTATCCAAAACTGAAAAAAAAAGTTTTGACTGTAAGAAAACTGTATTGTTTTTGACCAGATTTAAACTGTTTTGTGAAGATGTTCTTTCCTTGCATATACTTCTCACTAGCTGTAACCCCCTATACGTGTATTTCTTTTTTATTTTGTTGCATAAAATACTATTGATTTACACAACTGTAATTGTAAGGTGTTACATATTTCTCATGGCCTCAGATTAAAAAACATTTGTGCTATGCATACATTGTGCTATAAGGAAATGTACGTGTACTATTTAAGAGCTAGATTTATGTGTGACCAAATGCCTTTTAAAATTCCCTTGTTCTAGTCGCAATCGTCTAATTAAATATATGGCCCTTTTCAAAGTCCACGGAAATTGCATTTCTTTGCATAGTCAATGTTTAATTGGATGTGTGTAAAAAGAGTGTTGTACTTCATAATGATATAATGGGCAAAGACAATTAAAAGTAAGCCATTAAAATATAATGGTACCCTAAAAGGTTCTCACATAAAAAGTCTCATATGTCACAATGCATTAACAGTTCTGTGAGCACAGCCTATTGCTGGGTGCTATCGGTCATTTCAGAATGGCTAGGAGAGCGTGGGGCACATACAACTAAATTATGACAAGAATCTGCAGCTGTTATAAAAAAAACTTTACATTTATATCTACAGATTTTCATATAGCTTTTACAGCTGGCTTCTACAACCTGTCTTTGCTGCTTTTTTATGGTAACAGTCAAACAGTATGGAAGCACATTGTATTAGGGTAGGCCTTAAAGTGATATTAAGGTCAAAAGGTTTTAAGCTATTTAAAATGCCGATTAAATCACTTACAGTGGATGCTGTTCCTTGATGTTTTAAAGTTTCAGTTTCCTGCAGAATCAGCTGGTTCCCAGAGTACTGGCCATGATATCCTGTTTTAGGGTGTCTCTACAAACACTAACAATCACGAACAGCAAAGCAAGCCACTCGCTTTCTCCTCCTCCATCCTCCTCCCTTCCACAGGTTAGTTGATGGACAGCTGCTAAAGGCTGCGCTGTCCTTTGTGATCTTCTCCTGAACATGAAGTTCAGGGAAGTGGAGATGAGAGAGCTGGAGCTGTTCTGAAACACGATGACTGTAAGTAATTGGGTAAAAATGTAATGAAATACTTTGCTGAGCTATGTATATTAGTTTGATCTGGATTCCTTATTGGGAAAGGTTTGACAGTTTAATACTACTTTAAAGTGAACATGTAATGTATATGAGTGTGTCTACACTAACAATACTATCAGAGTGCAAGCATCTTGTGGTGCCTGCATGTGCTACTGATAATCTTTTAATTTATGTTTGTGCACCTGAGAGCATTCAGATCCTGGGTGCACAATGACAGTAAAGGCCATGTCACACTGACAGGTGAATATTTTCTCTGCAGATTGTTTGCGATCATGTGACTGGTGAGCTGTCATCAGATGTATGATTTCCACTGTGACAATGCCCTTAGGATAATGGCTGCTTACTTCTAATCCTCAATTACAAGGGGGTTTTGCTTTATGACCAAGGCAATTTGAAGTTAATCTGTACTCATGTAAATAACTGAATTTTGCCAGATCATAGAAAAATGTCCTAACAGTACAGTAACCGAGATTAACAGATCTTTGACAGCTGACTGTGCTTGAAGACATTTTCCATACAAAAGTGTAACTGCTATCTCTATATTAAAAGTACTTGGTGTGCTGGGGAAATCAATACATAGCATATTCAAAAGGAGAGATCAACAACGGCAGCCTCCATGTTTTCCTCATGACAGCCTAGGGTGCACTTGCAATTAAATCTCTTTAATACTGAGCAAAAGAACTGCTTGCTGCCAGTATCCACATTAAAATCAGTAAATTGCTACTGAGATGATGAGCAATAAGTCAACAAGCCATTTTTCTGTTTTTAATAGAATTGTGATGAATTATAACCCCTGTCAAATGTGAATTGATTGATAATAAAAGCCGTGCTATGTGAATTAAACTACAAGGTAATTCACATAGCGCTGCTTTTAATATCAATTTTATCTGATCACGCAGATTTCAGCTGCTGCTTGACTTGATTGGAGTAGTGGCGCGAGGTTTCACATTATTCAAATTTTAATTGATGTTTGTGTCTTGGCTAGGAAGATTTACCCTGTTTATGTCCTGGTTACCATTGTCATTGAGGGCTTGTTCACACCAGCAGCCGTGCTCAACCGCACGACTGCTGGTGTGCATGTGCTGCATCGCACTATTTATTTCTGTTTTTTGTTTGCACTTTATTGACATGTCGCAAGTGACCTTATCATTAAGTTGTATAGGCTCACTGTGGTGCAGTGCACTCGTACTGCATCTCCCCGCGGTGTGCTTAAAACAGATGTTATAAAGATGTTATAGCACCAGGGTCGCTTCAAATACATAAATGGTCCATATAGTAAACTCAGTGAAAAGTGTTTTACTTTAAAGTCACCACAGAAGATAGAAAGGTACTCTTTGTGAGAAAAAGAGGGTTTTTGGTTCAGGTGTCTTTTTTCTGCATGGCTTGCTATGTAGCTGTGAATAGAATGAATATAATAGAATGTGTTTAGTTTTTTTGCTATTGTCCGTTTTCTCACTGGAGACTTTATCTTTCTATCACTTTCACTATGGTATCCCCAACAATGACGGCAAAAAACCTACAGAACAGAACATCTACCCTACCCACCCCCCTCCCGTCCAAAAATAAAATAAAACATCTAGAGCTCAATGGTAAATTTCATTACGATTCTGAAAGATGTGAAATGTAGAATATAAGTAATTTCGATAACTTATTGCATTTATACCAGGCTCACTTGGCTTACATTTTAATTGACACTTATACAGGGCCCAGCAGTAAGAAAACATTATGTGATAGTCTTCCTTGCAACTATACATATTTTATGAGTAACTGGCGCTTGGCTGCACATCTAATACAACTTATGCTGATCTATAGGCAATTTAGACTGGGAGCATATTGCATATTAAATGATGGTTATTAAAGCATTATTGTCCAAATGGAAGTCCCTGTATTTACAGTCATTGGTTGAAAAGAAGACTGAAGCCAATCACATTCTTCTACTGTATATGGCCTGTACTTCAGGGAGCTGGAGAGTTATGTTTGTATAAAGGATCCAGAACTTTATACATCACCAATGACTGCATAAAGTTTCCTCTTTCCTAACATTAATTTGTAAATGTAAAATCACTTGCGTTTGTTTTTATTGTAATTCAGTTCAGTTAAAAAACTCTTATAAAAGTATGCTTCAATAGAACAGAACGTATTGCTTTCCGCATACTGTAAACAACTATGTTTGCAGTGGTTTCTTCAAACTCAACTCTGGGCTCAGTCCCAAACCCCCAGATCCTCCTTCTGCAATTTCCTCGGCTGTAGTTTTTGCTTTTTTATTTCATACAACGCACAGGGTCTTCCTTTTTGGATCCTCTCCCAGCAATGGGCAGTCCTCAATGCAGAGAGCAGTGTTGGCATTACCTTATCTAAACATTAGCAATTGTTGAATGTTTAAAACACATTCAGTCAATCATTTCCCTGGCTGGCCAGCCAGGGCTGACATGAATAGCCGCCAATGTAGCCTAAAATATCTGGAAAAACTCATCTCATGTCTATGGACTCATATAGTGCCCATGTTGACAGACATTTGTTTATGTCAGATAGTACTGCTCTCTGATACAAGTTTATGGAAATGCAATACCCCCTTAAAGTGACACTAAACTCAGGAGTTAAATCTTAAAAATGCATTCAAGTATCCTAACTATTAACAAAGATGTATCTTATTTGTGTATCACTCAGCTTTAGATCCTCAAATCATCTCCGAATTTGTGCTGACACAGTCCTTCCTTCTGGAGGGTGGCTACTTTTGTTCCCCATGGTACCTGTGTGTGTTCCTGTGTTCTCCCATGGTGGACTACAATCTCATGTTTAGTTTACTAATTTGTGTTGAAATTATAGTTCATCACAGGAGCGGTGGCTACTTTACAACATACACAGGGACCATGGGGAAGAAAAGTAGCCATCCCCAGAAGGAAGGAGAGTGTCAGCACCAATTCAGAGATGATTTGAGGATCTACAGCCGAGTGATACACAAATAAGATACATTTTTGTTAGTAGGGTACTTAAATGCATTTTTAAGATTTCAGTGTCACTTTAAAGCAGGTCAAATGCAGGTCAGAAGCAAGTCAACTTCAGTTCAGAAGTAGTTCAACTGCCAGTCAAATGCATCTGTCAGTGAATTCTGAATGATTTCAAACTGATGCTTTAGAAGCCCAAAGCCTGTCAATGCCAGCCCTCACACTGCTGTCGACAACTGTTCTTTAGTAAGGTTGCAGTGAGGACAATACATCTGCAGGAATAATTTATTTTTCAGAGCTTACTTAATAAGAACAGAGTGTTCCTGGGAAGTGTTAAATGAAGAAATTACCTGACAACACATTTGAAGGCATATCAGAATTGATTGAATTAAAACTCAATAGCTGAAAGTGTTTTGATCAATAATCCAACTGAATTAAATAAGACTCTGAAGCATTGCACGGTGCTTTTCATGTGCATGATCAATCGTTCCAATCAATCAAGGAAGAACTCAAAGGATATACCGAATACACAATGACTCTGTTTACTGTGATCATGATGGTGTGTTTGATACTCCCTGGTTTACATAATCACTGGTGAAAGGGTGTTACCCCAGATTTTGTGGGGTAGAGCGCCCTGAGATATGCAAACAATCCTCGACTTTGGATTATTTTTCTTGCTTGATTTGGACTCAATCAAGGCTTTTAGGCATTTAGAAGGTTTTTTTTTAATTATCAACATACTGTATGTGGGCAAAAAATTATATTTTAGGAAATTTGTTTTATAAAATGTGCATTAACAAAAATATATAGCATACACATATCTAAAAATGTGGCTATATAAAGTGACTGTCACCTTACAAAAAAGTCATGGGCCAATGGGAATGTACGGGGGGAGGGAAGGGGAAGGCCAGCTTAAGGTACTTTGTCTTAATGGCATTCAGGTGGATTCGTTTGTTTTTAAAGGAGAACTATGAGGTGAGTGCTTTTCACTCACCTCATAGTTCTAGCCGACCTGTGACAATGAGACTGTCACAGGTCGGCTCAGTAGATCGGGAGGTGAGCGAACACATACCGGGTTCGCTCACCTCTCGATCCTGTCACGGCTCTCTGCCGTGACAGGGGGAGGGGCTGGATTCCCCTCTCCCCGCTCCGATCTACCAGCGCTGACTGGCGGAACGGACGGGGGAGGGGGCAGGTACTGCTGGCTCTGCCTCTAGATAGGCAGAGCCAGCTGTCACTCACGCAGCTGGGTGGATCCTGTCATCTAAGTCGGGATCTGCTCCGGCTGCGGCGTCTCAGTATACCGCGAGCTGTAGCTCGTGGTATACTGAGCTTAGGGTAACGGGAGGACGCTAGTTTGTGTCCTCCCGTTACCCCAAGGAGAACTATGGGGAAAAACACTGACCCCATAGTTCTCCTTTAATAACAATTGAGTCCCCTTTCCTCCTAAGCAGAATGAAGCCTAAGGCCGGGTCCACACGTAGGCGGCACCGCTTTTGCGCATGAGCAGCATGCTGTTATTTGTACGTTTATGCATTTTTAATCGCGTACATGAAGATGCGCGTTTTGACTGGCAGCTTATAAAGCATTGCGGGCAATGCAAGAACGTTCATTTAAACACGCAAAAACGCTCACGAAAATGTGCAACAGGCTTCTGCTGCGCGTTTTTGGGCATTTCCATCAAAGTCTATGGGGCAAACACAAGCTTGAACTGCCCAAAGAAGCTCATGTACCTTTTCGGGCATTTTGCGTTTTCCTGCTGGCGTTTTTCTGCTCAGGTGACCAACCTACTAACATTCTACGAAGAGGTAAGTAGAGATCTGGATAGAGGGAGGCAGGTGGATGTGGTATTTCTGGATTTTTCCAAAGCATTTGACACGGTACCACATAAACGGTTACTACTCAAGCTGAGATCGATGGGCATAGATGAAATGGTATGTACATGGATAGAGAACTGGCTACAGGAATGGGTCCAGAGAGTATCGATAAATGGCTCCTTTTCAGATTGGTCTAAGGTCATGAGTGGTGTGCCTCAGGGATCTGTGCTAGGCCCCATGCTATTCAACCTGTTTATTAATGATATCGGGGAAAAATATAATATATCATTTTGCCACTTTATAGATCACTGGTTCAGCCTCATCTGGAGTATGCGGTCCAGTTTTGGTCATCAATCCACAGGAAGGATGTCCTTGAACTGGAGAGAGTCCAGAGAAGGGCAACCAAATTAGTTAAGGGGATGGAGGACCAAAGCTACGAGACAAGGCTACTAAACCTAAACATGTTTACTCTGGAAGTGAGGAGACTAAGGGGAGATATGATTTTCTTGTACAAGCTGCCAGAAACAATAAAAAAGAGAAAAAGCGCCAAGGGCAATCACTCCTCAAAGGGATATGGTGATGGGCATGCTGCAGGATGCTGTCCCACTACAGCCAGGGGGACTGTGAAATCTGGAAAGAAAGCACAAAGAGGGCGCCTTTCCTGCTGCAGGTAAATTTTAGACATATCAATGTAAAAAGGTACTCACAAACGTAAATGGGATAAAAGCCATACGATGATGACTGAATTGCAGGCAAGTGGACATCAACAGAGTAGTCCCAATGTGCGAGCATATCGATCTGTGTTGACACGTTTCCGGGGCACGCCCCCCTTATCAGAACATAGCGCGCCTCCTTTGTCAGAACATAGCACATATGTTCTGACGAAGGAGGCGTGCCCTGGAAACGCGTCAACGCAATCTATATGCTTGCACATTGGAACTACTCTGTTGATGTCCACTTGCCTGCCATTCATTCATCATCTTATAGCTTTTATCCCATTTACTTTTGTGATTACCTTTTCACATTGATATGTCTATCTGAATAAAATTTACCTGCACCATGAAAGGCGCCCTCTTTGTGCTTTCTTTCTTGTACAAGCTGCTCAATGGTGATAGCAACATCACTAATAAACTGTTTACGGTAACCTCCATAACAAAGACTAGAGGCCACCATCTAAAATTAGTAGAGAAAAAATTCAAGCACAAGGGGCATAAGGGCTTCTTCAAAGTAAGAGCGGTCAGGGTATGGAACTCGTTGCCGCAAGCAGTGAATCGTTCAAAAAGCATTTGGACGATTTCCTCAGAGGCCATAACATACAGGGGTACAGGTACACTTAACAAGAAGAAGGAACATCGACTAATCTACACTCATACACATGTAAATTCACATGCATACACTAACTATAGTTTGGACTTGATGGACCCGTGTCTTTTTTCAACCTCAAATACTATGTAGCTATGTAACTAGGTGTGAACAAAAGGCATTGAAAATCATGGAAATTCTTGTGCTGGGCTTTTAAAAGCGCTTTTCCAACTGCTCAAAAACTCCCCGGTGTGAACCAGGCCTAATGGGTCCTCATCACTTTTTAGGAGCATGTTGGTTGTATTGGTTTGGCAGCTTTTTCTTTTATAGTGTAATGCATTATTTGTTAGGGATAGATAGAGCTTTAATTTTGTAGAAGATTTGGATACACGTGCATTTCTCTTTTCGTGTTAAATCATGCTACGACCAGAAAAAAAAATTGTATTTGTGTAAATCCTTAGTATAACATTAAGATAAGATCAAGTCAGCCTTTTGGCACACAGGAAGTAATATGACGGCTCCATCACTGGTTTGTTATCACAAAACATCTGACAATAGCTCTTGCTTGTGCATATGACACTCAATGCAATAAACTCCCATGTCATGCATAGCACTGGCATATATTATTAGCATGAGTGCAGGCGGATGACAGGGTTATGAATTTCAGACCTGGGACTTGGCTGTCACCTAAAGCTTAACTCAGTCTTAAACAACATATATAAATCTACAAGTGGTAAATAAAAAACTTTTACAAGTGAACCCACACAATTTTAATAACTTAAAATTGAACATGCAGATTCTTTCATAAGCTCAGTTGTGAGTGTGTTTCTCTTTAAAATGGCAGCAAGAATTCAAGTGATTTAAGTTTTTGCAAAAACAAGCTTTCTTAACTGTATAGTACTGGACTCGGCGCAAATCATGATGGTTATCATCTGATGACAGGGGTGTCACTAGCCTATTCGCCGCCTGAGGCAGGGGGGCGCTGGTGATGCATATTCTGGTGGGGAGGGAGTTTTGTTGGTAGGGGGGAGGGGGAGTGGATCATCTTAACACCCAGCTCTGGCTTCCCGCCCAGCTCACTGGCATCACTGGTTGCCAGGAGCTAGACGGGACACTGGCTAGGGCGTCCCAGGTTGCTAAGAGCTGGGCCGGGAGTTGTGTATGGCCCTTACACATCCACCCGTCCGGCTCTTAGCAACTTGGGATGCTCTAGCCGGAAAGGGCCACTCTGCCTGCCACCCCCCCCATGTGACCCAAAGTGATGCCACCTGAGGCAACAGCCTCAGACTGCCTCATTATAGGGACAGCCCGGCATCACGATACTGCTCTACTACCCAATTGCCCCAATTTGCCATATGTCCTTTACTGTACTCCAAGAAAATAATTTTATAGGCAAGCTAAAATGCCTGTTTTTTTTCGTTTTGAATCGAGAAGGAAAGAGTGTCCCTGCTGTGGAGATTTAACCCTCTATCAGAAAGTGAGGTGAAATCCCAAAATTGTGAGTTGTCATAAGAGTAAAAAGTGAGGGAAAATCCTTCAGTGACAACGGTCTATGATGGAAATTCCCCTCACTTTGGAGAGACACAGGACGGGAAGTGACGGGAAACCTCCACAACTGGAGATAGGTCACAAAAATATAACTTGATAGGGGTTTTGACTCTTCCCTAGCCTAAAATTAAAAGAAAAAGTTTTACCTTTACACATACTTTAATGAACTAAGCGCTTACAGGTATATCTGCAATACCTGCAAACAAACACAAGGTGGCACTATATTACTTATCTTTCTAACTGTGAGAACAATTCGTTTTTTCATTCTTTTTGTTTGAAACATACCAGTCATATTATCAAGAGAGTGGTCCATAATGAGATATAATTACCCACAAACGTTTTCTATAAATATATTATACAAATCACTAAAGGAACTTATGGGAAAATGCCATCTTTGCATGGCAGGTCTCTTTACTGAATGCCCAACCTCCGGGGACTTTAGTGCATCACACTCTGTTATTTAATCTAGACATAAATTGTAAATAATTATTTGCACAGGTACACAAGCCAAATAAAGAGATAACAGCAAGGGTGGTTCCTTTCAGACAAATTAGGTTCAACTCACAAAAGCAAAGCACATGTAGAATTTTTATTATTGTTTTATTCACATTTTTTTATTACATTTTCTATTGGTTGCCAATTAAGTATGTTCCCTTACTTCTTACTCTTATGACAAACTTATGTTGCAATTTACTAAAATTGTTACTACAAAAAAACAAGA